GTGCGCGTGATGGAAGGTCAAGAGGTGCTATCAGAGGTCTCCACCGCCGAGTCGCTGCTCAGCGCCGCCGCCGCGGCGGAGCGGCACGCGCCCGCGCCCGAGGCGGCGTCGGCCGCGGCGTCGGCCGCGGCGCAGCTGCTAGTGCGGGAGCGGGTTTGGGAGCGCGAGCACGGGGCCGCCGCGCCCGCCGCGCCGGGGTTGGGCGAGGCCGCCGGCGACAGCGATGCGGAGGTGGCGGCGCGCGCGGCCGCGACGGTCGTGCTGAACGGGAACGGCACCTCGCACCACGCGGCCGGGGCCAACGGCAGCGGCGGCGGCAACGGCAGGGGCGTGCGCCCGAGCGGCGGCGGCAGCGGCGGCGGGCCCACTGAGTTGGTGGCCGGGGCCCCCGGCGATGCCACATTCAGCGGTAGCAGCAACAGCAGTAGCAGAAACGACAGCAGCACGAGCAGCAGCAGAGACAATGGCGCGGCGGAGGAGCAGCAGCGGCAGCAGCAGGCCCAGGACCAGCAGCAAGAGCAGGAGCAGGAGCAGGAGCAGGAGCAGGAACAGCGGCCTGGCTCGCCAGACGGCGAGCACCAGCAACAAGGCCAGCCGTGGTGGGCGGCCGCGATTTCATGGCTCCCCAACCAGCAACAGCAGCAGCAGCAGCGTAGCACTGCCAATCCCGACAGGCAGAGACAGCAGCAGGAGAAGGAGAGGCAAAAACAGCTCAAGGAGGCGACGCGGCTGGAAAAGCAGCGGCGGCACCAGATAGAGAAGCAGCAGCAGCAGCTGTTACGGCAGCAGCGGAAGGAGCAGCAGCAGCAGCAACAGCAGCAGCAGCGTTCGCAGGACGACGGGGCCGCGCAGGGCCTGGCCGAGCAGCAGCAGCAGCAGGGCTGGTGGGACAGCGTGATGCAGTCCGACTTTGTCCGCGGCCTGCCAGGCTTCGGGCCTCCCGGCGACGACGTGGAAAGAGCGCGGAAGAAGGCCGAGGAGGCGGCGGCGAAGGAGGCGGCGGCCCAGCAGCAAGAGCAGCAGCAGCAGGAGGAGCGGGACGGCGGCGCCGACAAGCCGTGGTGGGAGCCCCTCGTATCATGGCTCCCCCGCGGCGGCGGAGGCAGCGACGACGAGCAGCAGCAGCAGCAGCAGCAGCAGCAGCAGCAGCAGGGCGAGCCCCGCGGCGCCGACGGCAGCCGGCCGGTCGAGGCGATCGTGATCCCGCCAGATCTCCCCCTGGAGGAGATCGCGCTCGAGGTTGCGCGCCTCAAGGCGGAGAGCTGGCGCAGCAAGGAGGACCACGTAGAGTCGCTGTGGGCGCGCACCGTCGAGCGCAACGACCGCAGCTGGCTGATGCTGCTCGCGTTCCTCATGACCGTCGCTGTGGGTCTGCTCGCCGTCGTGGCCTGGCGGCTGCAGCAGCTGCAGGCCGGTGGCGGCGGCGGCGCACCGGGCGCGGACGGGCTGCCGGCGCCGGCGGACGCGGCTCTGATGGTGATCGGCCTCGCGGCCGCGTTCGCGTCGCAGTGGATGTGACGGGGCTCGCCCGCATGCGGGACGCCCCCTTGCCGGCCCCCGCCGCCCTCAAATTGCCATCTATTTGTGCACAACGGCGCGTCGAACTCGCGCGGCGTGCACCTGCACCGCCGCCATCGCTCGGGCCTGCGGTAGCAGCGCGCCGGGTATGCAGGGTCCCCGTGGCGGCCTGCTGTTCCGGCGCGAGGCGCCGCCCCAAAATGTCCTGAGCTGCCTGTGGCGCAGCCATACTCGTTTGATACGCGCCCTGCATGTTGCCATTGCATCAATGTACTGTGTGCATCCCGTTACCGCCAATGCCAGCATTGACATGGTGAGTAGTGATGTAATAATGTATATCTGCCAGGTGATTCGTGTTGCGGTGACGCATTTTGGCACGATGCATGGTACAAAACGACGGGCAGGAAGCAAACATGGGGTTGCGTGATCTCTATCACTGAGCTGGTATGCACATGTGTGTGTGTGTGTGGGGGGGGGGGTGTTGGGACTGCCAGGCTGTAGGTTTTGAGGGTCTATCCAGGTGATTTGGGCAAGTTTCGACGCGGGCAGTCTGCCTTCAGTCTGGAGCCAGAAGGTATCGCAAGCGCTGCCTGTTGTTTGCTTGCAGGTGCTGACAATCTGCAGCACCCAGGGGGCCCTGATTGGACCCTTCGCAACCAGCAAGCAGGTCTTGAGGTGCAACGCAGGTGCAAGCGACACGACAGCCGTGTCTGAGTCTTCAAACGCAGGCCGCGGGCCGCTGCCACCAGCCTGCTGGCAGCAAGCTCTCCTGCCGCCAGCTGGACATCTTGGGCAGCGACGCTGCCCGCACTGCTGCTTAAGCTGCCCGCCTGCTGCCTGAGGCTCACACCAGCACCTGCACTCTGTGTGCAGCCAGCCGCCGTGTGCCTGTGCGTGTGTGTGGTTTGGGGGGGGGAGGCGCTGCTGTAGGGGTGCAGAGGCCCACTCTGCCATCAAGTGCCGCTGCCTCGCATTGGCCGCGTCGTTTGGCCAGCCCAGTGACGCGCCGCCGGCCCGCCGTGTAGGGCGCAGCGGTCCTGCGGCCAGGGCGGGTCTGCAAGGCCTTTGTGATCGTGGCTCCTAATTGCGCTGCCTGGACGCAGCGTGTCACCTCAACGCCGCCGCCCGGCAGTGCGCACCGGCCGTCACCTGGTTTCTGTGGTTGTATGGCCTCCGCCGGACGGCTGGAGCCATGCAGCGGAGGGGCGCGCGGCGTGGCCTCTAAGGGGTGAGCACTGCCTGTGGGCAAAGATGGGGCATGAAGTTGTGAGCAACAGCCTCCACCTCTCCGGACGCCCCGCGGCTGCCGCGCGGGAGCTCGTTGCGTGTGTTATCAAATTGCGTGGCGGCGGCGGGTGTGAACTGACGAAGGCAAGGCCGTCGGGTCGCTCCAGCGAATTGCAGGTATTCTTACAAACCAAGAAGAGGAGTGTCAACGAGCATGTGACATCTGCCTTCAATTCCCCTGTTACTACCACGGAGCGGCCCCCACCTGCACGGCGGCGGCGGGCGCTCCTGTAATGGCCATGCAGTGACTGGCGCGGCCGGGCAGCGGCAGCCCCATGCATGGTTGCGTTGCCCGTGCATGGCCCGCGGCCCGCCAGAGACAATTAAACTATCGAAAATGGGATGACATGGCCAAAGGGGGTGTGCGCTTTGGAACACTGGGCCAGCTGGTTACACCGGCGTAGATTGTACAGCGATTTTCTTTCAAGCCAGCTTGCCCGCACCCTACCGAGCGATTGATTAAATACTTACACGCTTGGATCCGCTTCCTAGTCTGCTTGCCCCCATCAGCTCTGCTTTCAAAGCCGGCTTCACCAGCCCGCGGGGCCTGTTGGGCCAGGCGGGGCCGGCAAGAAGCTTACCCAGGAGCTCAAGGGACCCAGAGATACCGCCTCCCTGCTCGGGTGGGTGGGTGGCAGGACACCTGGTCGAGGCAGCCGGGCCACGCCAGGCAGACTGTGGGGGCGGGGCCCTGACGGGCGCAGCTCGACCCCTGTTCGGACCTGGCTTAGTTTGCTTGTATCTTGTCGAACGGGGACGGCCTGATGTACACCAGCCCGTTGTGCAGCCGGGGACCTCATCATGCCTCACGCATCACCCCCATTGTGTGCCCAGGCTTCGGCCCCTAGGTTGGTCGCGATGGCCAGTAACGTGAGCCCGCAGTCTTTGTCGGGTGACTCGCGCACTTCGGAGGCCGCGCCTGCGCCCGTGACACCAGCATCGCCCGGCACCGGCAGCGAGCCGCGCGGCGTCGACAGCGCTGGCCCTGTTACGGAGATAGTTATCAAGCGCCGCGAGCGCTCCAAGCTCATGAAGTCGTCCAGCTACCGCGGCGTCGCGCTGACCGAGAACGGCTATTGGCGCTCCCGCATCCGCTTCGGCAAGCACACGATTCACCTGGGAAGGTGCGAAGAGAGGTCGGCCCGCGCGCATGCACATGACGCCGCATGGGGTGGCACTAGCATGCACCATGCAGCTCTGACGCAGCCGCCGGGTGCATGGAGCACGGGACGGGTAGGAGATCGTGGCACTGTGGCCGCCTGCCTGGCGGCGGCGCCGCGTGCCCTGCGCGCCGCGGCCGCGCCGGGCCCCCCACCATGCGCCCAGTCGGCCCCCGCTCACCCGCGCCACCCCGCCGCACTCCCCCCTTCCCCCAGGTTCCGCGATGAGCGCGAGGCGGCACTGGCGTACGACCGCGCGGCGGCGCTGCTGCTCGGCCCCAGCGCCTCACTCAACTTCCGCTTCGCCCCCGGCCGCGACGACCCCGGCCCCGTGCTGCACACCGCCATCATCGTGAACCAGGCGCTCGGCGCCAACACCCCTCAGGCAGTGCAGGACATGGTGAACGGCGCCACCTGGCAGGCCGCCGAGCGCGAGCGCGCGCGCCTCGCCGCCACCCGCGCGCCGCCGGTGCCGCCGCAGCAGCAGCTGCCGCCGATGATCCGCGTGGACGAGGCGGCCGCGGCGTTCGCTGCGCTGCAGCAGCAGCAGCAGCAGGAGCAGCAGCAGCAGCTGCGGCTGAAGCTGGTGCAGGAGCAGGTGGCGAGGCAGCAGGAGCAGCTGCGGCAGCTGCAGGCGCTGCAGGCGCAGCTGCAGATGCAGCGCGTGCCGGAGCCGCAGCTGCAACAGCTGGAGGCTGGGCACCAGGGTGGTGGTGCCTCCCTCCTGCTCCACCATGCGCTGCACGAGGCCGCTGTGCTGCAGGAGCAGCAGCAGCAACAGCAGCAACTGCAGCTGCAGCGGTGGCGGCTGCAGCAGCAGCAGCAGCAGCAGCAGCAGCAGCAGCGTGAGCAGCAGCAGCAGCAGCAGCGCGAGCAGCAGCGGCGCCAGCAGCAGCAAGCCGAGGCGGATCAGGAGATGGACGCCGCGGCGGCGTTGGCGGGGCTATTGGGACAGGCGCAGAGCCCTGCGGCTGCACAGCAGCTGCTTGCGGCGCTGATGCAGGCCAGTGGCCGCGGCGCTGCCGCGCCGGCGCCCGCCCCGCCCGCGGCTGAGCTGCCACCCGTCGCTGCGCCCGGCCCCGTCAAGGCGCTCGCGCCGCCGGCGGCGTCGGCCACGCCCTCTGCCGAGGAGGGCGCGTTCCGCGCCTCGAGCCCGAGCGGCGGCACGCACGCCTCTTGGGGCGGCGCGCCCGCCGCGCCCGTGCCCACGCCCACGCCCGCGCCCGCGCATGCGGCTGTGGACTCGGAGGCCGCGGCGCGGCAGGCGGCGTTTGTCGCCGCCATGGAGGACGTGGGCAGGCTGCTTCAGACGGAGCCGGGGCTGCTGGCGGATTACGCCACGCCCGACGGCAGCGCCGCGGACAGCAGCGATGCGGCTGCCGCGCGGATGGCGGCGGCGCTCGCCGCCGTCGTGACGGCCGCCGCCGCCGTCGCACAGGACCTGGGAGGCGGCGCTGCCCCCGCTGCCGCCGCCGCGCCCGCGCCGACGCTGGGCAAGCGCGCCCGCGATGGCGCGGCCGGGGCCTCGCCAGACTGCGAGAGCCCCACCCAGCGGCGGCGCGAGGAGCCGGCCCTCGGCGCAAGGGGCGCGCTGGCGCTAGAGCACCGCCTGCTGCAACTGAGCGGCGTCGCCGCTAGCCTGGCCGGCCGCTGCTGAGCCGCCGCGCCGCCCCAAGCTGGAGCCCGCGTGCGCATGCAGCGCGGCGGCCCCACGCTGCCCGTCCGCACGCAGGCAACGGCAAGGGGTTGAGAGGGAGTTGGGGTCGCCTCAAGGAATGGATCAAGAGGGGCGCCCTGTTCCGCACTCGCCTGTACCAGCCCGTCGCTTCCCAGCAAGTTGCCCGAATCCCGCAGCAGCCGCATCCGCTTTCAAGCACTGGACCCCAAAACTACCTGCGCCCCGCGCCCCTGCCTTGCGTCACTGCGTCTTTCTACGATCAGCGGGGGCCTGCCTGTTGGGCTTCCGCCCGCGGGCGCGCCCTAAGAATGGGGCCCAGGCCGGCGCATCAGCCCGCACGCGCAGGGCTGCGCGCCTGGCCTCGCCCCGACGCGGCCGCTGCGCGTCCCCGGCGG